TTATTGTCAAATGTGTTGTATTTGTAACATACAGCACAGATGAAATTTCTTCCCTCTCAACATCAAATAAGAGGAGCCGCTGTGGGTGTCCGCGCCACCATATATATATATATATATATATATATATATATATATACACACACACATACAGTATATAGATATAGATATAGTTAATAACCCAAAGATTTGTCTTCTGTGACCATGTACCTGTGTAATTTTAGTTTTACCGGTAATAAGAGAGTCATATTTGTTTTGCTGTTAAAAATATAAATGTCAGCAGTTTGGAATGACAGACAAAAGTTTCTGAAGAAACACTACAGGCATTTCAGGACCTTATAGTTCCATCCAGTTGAGAAACAGTGATTTTGTGGGCTCCTCCCAGGTATTCGGACATCCTTTCTCATTTAAAAAACATGTGAGGTAAATTTATTGGAGACTATAAATAGGTTTCTGGTTAGCGATCGTTTATGAGTCGTTCGATTGACTGGTGACTTCAACCTGACCCAACTGAGAAAGGAAGCTATGAAACGAACCCCATTCAAAGTCAGAAATTACTGCACCATCAGTAGAGAAAATGTGGCACTCATGCCACAGAGCAGGTGGTTCTCTTTTTTTTTTTTTTTTTTGCGGGCCACTTTAGAGTTACGTCTTCCCTCGAAGGGCTGTTCTGAAAGTGAAACCGAATAAATGTTTCTCGGGGTATTATTACTTGTAGACAACAAATGGATGGACTACAAGTTTTCAAATCACTCAATTCAACCATTTGTTTGTTGTTGATCAATTATTGTTGAGATAAGTGGAACGAGGCTAACAAAATGTCAATGTTATTTATTACAAATGACAATTCAACATTTTGGTACAGGATTTAGCAGTGATCATGATTTGCTTTTGCGGGCCACATAAAGTGATGTGGCGTGCCGGATCTGGCCCCGGGGCCTTGACTTTGACACCTGTGCCATAGACTTTGGAGGTGGTCGATGAAGGTTACTTTTGGCTTCAACTTCTGGAGTTACTGGGCTTTTATAGTTGCAGTCCACCTCCTCCACCTCCTCTAATCTTTGTTCGCATTCTCATCTCTAGAATCATCAAAACCTGATCCTCATGCCTGATCAAGTTACTGGGGAAAATTCAAAAACAACATTTCTCAAGTGCAAAACATCACGCTATAATCCAGCCAGAGTTTATTTCTTTCAAAGCACATTAGACTTACCTGAGAGTTTGGACTGTTGGCTGGTGTAGCTGGAAGTTCGTGAGTGGCCAGAGCCGCCAAGATCATCAGACACCACGGGACACTTGACTTCTCGACTCTCTGCTATGTTGCAAAAGAAATTAGTATTTGAAATTGCTATGTGAATGATTTAGTCCGGTTAAGCAGGCTTATTCCCGAACAATTGGAAAGTGACAGGCTTTTTCGGATCAGACACAATCATTCACATTACATAGCTGTCAAAAACCCACTGGATTTTGTGTGTCTGACAGTGCATCCTTCACATACAAATATGAAGCAGAAAGCTGTCATTGGAAGTAGGAAATCGACATGCGGATCAGTGCAATGTCTTCTGTGATGTGGACTCTGTATCCATCCGTTGTGTTGAAGAGGGAGCTGAGCCGAAAGGTGAAGCTCTCGATTTACTAGTCGATCTACGTTCCTACCTTCACATATGGTCATGAGCTGTGGCTCATGACCAAAAGAATAAGATCCCGTAAGCGCAATTAAACGATGACGGACTGGCCGACAGTTCTGAAATATCAGTAATGAACTGTAATTTAACTATGACGGACACACTGAAAATAACTGACGGATTGACAGAATGGACGATTCCATTGTGGTATAGCTTGAAATAATGACAGACTGACGATGATGGACGGGTGCACATGCCTCTGATGAATGATGAATGACGGAGCAGAAAAATTTAATAAATTGCCTACCAGTTAGTGTAAGATTAAGGGAACCACCCCCATACCGCCCCTGCAGACTAATTATGTTTACGATTATGTTTTATGCGCCTGTAATGGGCAGCATTTTTCACAGCCCCGTTTTGTTCAGCGGAGTTGTCAGCGCTGTTGCATGTCTGAAATAGAAAACTTAAAATTTATAAAACTTATGCCAATTATCTTATTTGTCATCTGTTCTTGAATTTGGTTCGTGGCATTTTGTTGCAGCTTTTTGGATTCCTTCGCCCAATTAAAATTTGTCAGACATTCTATTTAAATTTGTGATTGAACAAGTTTGGAGGTAATCAGGCTTGGCTGTGGTCAGTGAAAACTAACTTTCTGAAAAAGTGTGTGTGTGAGGTGTGGGGAGTATTTTTTCCTCACAGGGGCCAGGTAGTTTTGATACAAATCCTTTTCTTGCTGGCTCTCGACGAAGGCGGACGCTTTTCTGCTCAGCTCCTTCCTACCCCACCCTCTCCTTGCTCGCCACTCAGTCTACGTGCTGTCTGTGTCTAACTTTTCCTAGCCTCCTATCGTACTTTCACCCTCAGAATAAACCATGGAATTGGTTGGCTGGTCCCTCGATGCAATCGACAAAATTTTCTCGACGAGAAGAGCAGGCAGTGGGGAGCCTACTTGCCCCTCGGGGACATTTGCTGCCGGATACGCCCTTGATCCATGGAGCAAGTGGAGAATGGTGTGCCTGTCAATACTGTCCGTTGAGGATGTGGAAGACATCTACATTATTGGCCTTCTGATAACAGGTATGCTGCTGTTTGGTGTTAGCAGTTTCCTGTTCTATGCAAAATTCAACCGATGGGAGCAGCTTTATTGGAAGTGAAGAAGCTGCCGGTCATTCTGGATGGTCTGGCGCGAATGTCCAATACACAGACTCAAGCGGTGACTGAGCTCAACCGCAATATGGACGCGGCTTTGGGGTGTCTCCGTACGATTGGCGACAACTTGGTGAAGTTGGAATTCTCGCTTCGTAAAGTAAATGAGGATTTGGCTGATCGGCGCCAGTGAAGGAATACAGCCACGAACTCAAGGCCACCTGAAATTGTTGGCGGCCGTCCCAAGACAAAACAACGCAATCTGGACCCTTTCCCCTGGAAAGTACGCATGGAAGCTAGTGCCCCCACCATCACCCCCACCCTCTCGGCCTCGAACTGATAAGCTGGGACTGTCTCCATCAGCCCCCACATCCATCCGCCCCCCCATCACGTTATGTCTTGTGTCTTGTTGTAACTGTCATATGCTTGATGTGCAGGGAATTTTTTTCTCCTAGACTTAAATTATCCTCAGAAGAGGATAGTTCGAGCATGGTTTTTTTACCCCCTCCTTCCCTAGTGTTTACTTTTCTCATCTAAGATCTCGGGGCGCTGTACTTACGGCGATTACCGACAGGCCCTTTGCACTGTATCCCATGTTCGTCTTTGTTTTTCATGTTTCTTGTGCAAAGCGTGCCTGTTAAGTCCAATTACCCCATGGGGATGAATAAAGTTTTCTGAATCTGAATCTGAATCTGAATACAAATCACCTAAATCTGGATTTCATGTTTAGTTGGGTTATCTTTATCTGATATTCGCATTTGTTTGATTATCTTCCAGTTTGAAAAACAGCCAGCACATGAAAAATTAACCAAAACAGATACTTTCAATTTACGGTACATCCCTACAACTTATCATTGTCAATATCCTTCTTCCAGGAGTCTTGAATTAGCTGATTTTGTTTCAATTTCAGCTATCAGTAAGTTATGATGTGCAAAAATAGTGTTAGATCTGATTGAATATTTCCTGTTGTGTTCCTTTTTCTATTTATCAACATTTTTGATACTGTTCCCATTTCCATCCATTCTTTTTCTTCTTCTGCTGACTCGAGGTTGGGTCGTGAAGGCAGCAGCTTCAGCAGGGAAGCCCAGACATCCCTCTACCCAGTATTTCTTTCAACTATTTAAGGGGGATGCAAAAGCATTCCAACCAACAAGGGAGACAGTCTCTCCAGCATGTCCTGGTTTGTCCCCGGGGCCTCCTCTCTGTGGGACACGCCCGAAACACCTTACCAGGGAGGCCTACAAGGACGCATCTTTACCAGATGCCCAAGCCACCGGGTCCTCTCGATGCAGAAGAGCAGTGGCTCTATTTTGAGCCCCTCCTGAATGACCGAGCCTCTTACACTTTATCTAAGGGAGAGCCCAGACACCAAGCGGAGGAAACCGATTTCGGCCACTTGTATTCGGTCCTGATACAGTTGGTGAGGGTAAATCAACTGGAAATTGAGAACTTTACCTTTTGGCCTCGCTCCTTCTTTACCACGACAGACTAAGCTATCGGAATTACAATTAACTCAACTACACAAGATAATCATTATTGTACAATAATAATGTATTTTAATGTACAGTGGAACCTCGACTTGCGAACGACCGTTTTTAATGAAGTTTTCAAGTTATGCACAAAATCTGACCAGTGCTGTACTTCTTGGCTACAACTTACCTCCTTGGATCACAAACCCCTCCACCACGATAAAGTGATGGCCCAGGAAGAGGATTGCTGACGACTGAAATGCTTAAAAAGCCTCTAAAGCACATATGTCAAAGTGCCGGCCCGCGGGCCAAATCCGGCCCGTGAGAATGTTTTCAGTGGCCCCTGGGATGATATTGATTTATTATTAGAACCGGCCCGCGGACCGCAGCAAGCCGAGAGCCCGCAGATCTTTTACACGCACCAATACTACATTTCCCACAATGCAACGGTGACGCGCCAAGCAGTCGGCCGCTTTATTTAAATAGTTATTAGTCTAGCAGTCGTTCCCATAACAGTGACATTAGCTTTCAGATACCCATCAAAAATGGCAAAACGGAAGGTGGACACTGAGAACCGGGGGTTTCAAACAAGGTGGGAGTCGAAGTACGTGTTCATGGACGTAGCTGGAAAACCTGTGTGTCTTCTGTGCGGAGAAAGTGTGGCGCGATTGAAATAGTGTAATCTGAGACGACATCATGAAACGAAACACGCGAACAAAAACAAGAACATGGACATGGAGGGGGAAGGGGGATTTCATTAAAAACGGTATACTTAAAGTTTGAGTTTGTGACGAAGTTTACCCCGAAAAAAAGCAACTCTTTTTAAACGTGAGCATTAGCAGAAACACAATGGCAGTGTTTCTGCAAAGATACGGCAGTGCGTGCTGAGCAGTTTGACGGTTTCCTCCCCGACACAGTGGTCCCGCTGCGCATCCAGGCTGCTCAAACGTTGTCGAAAGTTTGGCAGCACATACGTGTGTGAACAACTATTTTCTTTGATGAAGCTGAACAAAACATCACACAGAAGTCGATTTACTGCTGAACACCCTCACTCAATT